CGTCCTCGTCCACATCCCCGTCCTCGTCCACATCCCCGTCCTCGTCCACATCCCCGTCCTCGTCCACATCCCCGTCCTCGTCCACATCCCCGTCCCCGTCCTCATCACTTGTCTCATGATAGACAGGATCAGGGCGCCAGTGGTCCTTGAGGACGTCCATAATTTCTTTCAGAATAGGGTCATTCTCAGGGCCAGACTCGAAATGCTCGTCAAATTTTCCACGCCTCAAACGCCGTCCCCAGAATCCTGCCTCGTACTTACCCACGCCTTTAAATCGGCCTTTTGAAAAGATGAGAGGAGTGTGATTGTAAGGGCCGACACTGACGATGCCGCTACTGACAATTGACGCAATGTTCCAAGGCGTTAATACATCTAAATGGCAATTAAGGATGTCCGCGAAGTGCCCTGACAGAATGAAATGTCTAGCATCGTTAATCCGTGATTCTCCTACTAACAGTTGCGATAGAGCCGTACTGATTCTCGGCTCGACATCGAAGAAGAAATCAGATCCCGATGGAGAATACTGGGAGAAACTCAGCTCTTCAGGTTCGTGTAGCAACATAGAAGTGGCCAAAACATGATCCCACTTCGAGTTCTTCCGAAATGCTGCTCCTTGGTCCGGTACAGGGAAAGCGTCAATGACATAATGATAATTTGTTTGATAATTTGTGTCCATAATGGACCAACCGTCAATGCGTGGTCTGATGCCATTTCCAGGCCGAAGACTTGAGCACAATTCCCTCAAATCTTGCCTAACCTTCGTCGTGTATCGAGCACCCCATCGAGAGAGTAATGCAGCTGATGCGAGGTGGACGTGTTCATAGAACGGGCACGTCGACAAGAAACTTCCATCCAATTCTCCAGGCACGTAAAAGATTGTGAGATCTTGACTCAATGATAGCTTTGTTTGGAAAAGGCCCAGGAAGTGGCTAACACCACCCAAGTTACGAAAGCAGCCGTCAGTGCGGATCAGGCACAGGATGCAGAATTCAATGGCGAGGATCCTGTATTTCTGGTCGAAATTTACCAGCTTTTCCTCGAGATAGGGCAATACGCAGTAATTTGCAGCTTCGTAAAGTAGGCGATTGTCGACAGAGGAGAGATGAGGACACCAAATTTCTTGACGGTAATTATGGTCGTAGTCATGGAAGAGAGGTCTCCCCTCATCATCTAAACCGGCAGTTTGCATGGGAAGTGGCATAGGAAATCGCGCTTGCTGAACCGAGAAGACAGTATCAAGGACAGTTGTTTCAAGCGGAGTCCAGTGACTCTTGGGTACCCCTTGGCTGTAGAGCATACATATCCATGTAGGTGCAAGTTTGCTGTTGCTGTTGATGATGAAATATATCCCAGAGGCTAGCACCATTCGCTTGAATGTTTCTTGCTCAGATATGCCACAAGCATCAACAAGTGCGGTACCGCACCGGTCTTTGTCGAGTAGAAAATCGTACACACATCGGTGTATAAATCGCACACTCGTATTTTGCAACGTGGTTAGAGGTTCAGAATGGCACGCTTCGGAGTTGTCGTAGAAGACATTATCCACACATTCAACAAGACCTGCACACCGGGTAATCACATTTTGAGCCCTGTCAATGGCTGGGAGATTAGAGAGTTCTTGACAATATGGAAGAACGTTGTCTGGGAAATTGGCAGCGAGCTCGTTCTGTTCCTGAGACGCAAGAAGTAGTTCCAACAGGGTGATGTCACATCCAGCGAGCGTCGCCACAGCAATCAGGCTCAGATATGGTTTCGGATGCTTTACATAGAATTTGTCCTGTCTCTTGAGTAAAAGCATGAGGAGTTCATCCATTTCGGCAGGACATTCTGCCAAGCGCAGATCGAGATCTGCGTCGCTGTCACCCTGTTCTATACCAGACAAAATTTGCGTGGCAACTAAAGCAGCCCATAGGAAGACGCCCTGGGCGCTGTTGGCGATGTGCCAAGTGTAACCTGCGGCTTTAGTTTTACCAAGCCGGTTGTGACAGTGTAGCTCGATGTCTTCGTAATTGTAATCCTGTAATCTCAGCGAAGGATACTGACAGAGAGTGTCGTGGAACGGTCGCTCGGGTCGACTTGAGCAGCAGAGCTTGACCTTTCCAGTAAGTTTTCCGATATGCTGTATAACCTCGAGTAGAGATCTGCGCTCACCATCATCCTCAACTTCGTCAAGACCATCAACCAGGATGCAGAAACGGTATCGCGAATGTGTTACCAAGTATATGAACCAGGCCTTGAGCTCAGCATTCGTGCAACTTTCAGCATGCGGTCGTACTTGGCCAAAGAATGACCTGAGAGTTTCAGGAGCCGAGCCGTTGTTGTTGTCACGGATCGTTTCGACCAGCGTCTCGTCTGCTTCCAGGATCTGAAAACACAGTGATCTCCAAAACCCTTCCAAAGATTTCAGAAACACGCAGCTGGCGGGCCTGAAGAACCAGAAACTGAGTAGGCGGACAGATTGCGGCTGGGCCCAGACATTCAGATGATCAAAGCCAACTTGGCCCGTGTGAAGATTCTGGTAAATATAGGCCATGAGGCTCGATTTTCCACTTCCAGGCTTTCCACTAAACCAAAAGATTCCCCTGCCTTCTCGAAGCCATGCAACAAACTCATGTTGCTGATGAGAATCGGTGCGAGGTGGTGGATAGAATATCCAGTGATAGGTGTTACGGAACTCGCCCACATGGTTATCAATCATTTTGCGCCGATCGTACATTTGGGGAAAAGCCAGGCTATCTAGAACTCGCATTCTGAGATCATTCGATTCGTGATCTTGAGTATATTTCGTATGAGCATATTGCTGGCTGTTCAGCTGTGCCGTTATATTTGCCTGTGCAGTTGTGATTGATGACGTTATGTTTGTCTCTGCAGCTGTGACTGAAGATTTAACGTCAGTTGAGGCTTGTTGAATGTGACCTAATAGTTTTGTGATGGTGTCCTTTTGGCCTTGCGACAAGGCCGCGAACTCCTTTTGTCGAAACAAGACGTCCTGGTCGGCCTTGATACTAGTCAAGAGATTAGTAGGCAGAGTCCAAGGGACAGAAGATTAGGGACTCGGCAGAGACTGTTCCAGCGACGACCCAGAACCCTCTAGCCAAAGCAAAACATGACAGCAAGCGTCACATTTAGAAAGCCTATATATCAAAAGTGTCGACTTACTGAAGATCTTGCACCGGGCAAGATTGCAAAGCCGCTTCCTGCCGCTTCAGCTTTGCTCGAAGCTTGTCAATAGTATCCCTTCTACGAAAACTTTTGAACATCATCTGGAATGCGATGCCCTTGGCCTTGACGCCCTGCTTTTTCTTGAGTTTCAGTTGACTGAGCTCCTTCTTGAGCTCCACCGCTGTCTTTGAGACATCGTTCGCAAGTTGCTGTAGCTTATTGGCACGAGGAGGTAGGGTCGTAGGGTTGCTGTTGTTGAGAACAAGGACCAAATCCTTGTTCAAGGCCGTGAGGTCCTCGACGTATTTCTCAATCTTATCGTTCTCATCTAGAGAACCGCGGTCGTAGATTTCCTTGCAGACTTTAGCGGCACCGATGGCCTGTTCGATGAGTTGGAAGACATTGCAGATAACGGAGAGGATAGCATAGGCTTCCATTGACGGCTAGCGGGAGGACCGTGGAAGGACGCGTGGGAATGTTAGCCACGCTCACGAGGTGTTCAGGTTCGTATCTGCTGGGCTTTTGCCAGTAACGGCAGATGGAAAGCAGAATGACTCAAACTGTGATTTGCAAGCGCGAGCACTGATTCGGCGCTATAGCGATGGACAATCAAATTGGTGGTTACACAGGATTTTGCAGAATATCTAATGGCAGCGAGAGGCCAGCGACATGAGCAGGCGTGGCAGGGCAAGGCAGGCAAGGCAGGCACGGGGCAGGGTACGCTGAGGCTGACCAGAAGTTGAGCCAGGTCACACGATGCCTCAGTTAGGAAGGCGTGGGTGGCTGGACTGGGACCCAAAATGTCTCCGTGCAGCTGCTCGAAAACTGCGCTTCTCCTATCTTGATCAGCTGAAGTTGCGTCTGTCCACAGTCATGCGGGACATGTCGTGTTCAGGCTGGACCACGGCAAGTTGTTGGTCAGTGATGCATCCCTGTCTCAGCTCGCCGCCAGAATTGAGCCCCGCTCATGCTTCTCACCTGGCATTTACCATGTGGTGATATGAGAGATTCGGCACCAAGATCACATATAAGTGTCTCGCTTTTACTGAATTTGTGACACTCCCGGAGCTGAGTTGTACTCTAGCTAGTTGCTTGCTGTTCCATCACAATGGCTCTGGACGAGACTCCTCCGTTGCCTTTCCCTACATCGGGACCTTTGGATCCATATGTCAATTATCTGAAAGGTTACCTCACAAAGCTGGGCCGCTACGATCAAGGTGATCAGTCCCTGGCCAAAGCCATCCAACAAGGTCTCGACGAAGGAATTGAACAATTGACAGCATGGAACATCACAAGTGCCGATAACTTTATGTATTATGCCAACTACCTACTTACCAGCTGGATTCCGACCGAGATACATGACAGTCGTTTCATCTATCAGGTTCTCACCGTCTTCTACTACATATTTGATCGACCGGCCCTCTGCGATCTTCAAACGCAGATCTGTCCAGAGTCGATTGAAGGCGACATGCCTAAAATGAGACCACTCTCTGACTGGGTAGTTGGCTATGCTAGACGGATGGGGTCATGGCTGAACACTTCTGCTTCCATCACAAAAGACTCGTACAAGACTTTCCTCGACGCCAGCAAATACAGGATGAGCAACCCGTGCGACTACCATATTCCCGACCCTGGTTCAGACACTGGGGGCTTCAAAAGTTTCAACCAGTTTTTCTGTCGTTTCCTCAAAGAACCCCATTCCAGTGTCCGGCCTATTGACAAAGACATCAATACTGTGGTCTTCCCTGCGGATTCAACCTTCGACAATGCATGGCCGATTGACAATGATCTCAATGTGGACATTCTAGACCCGGATGCACCTCCATCATACATGGATACAGGGAATGTGGTTGACATCAAGCTTGTCAAATGGCCACTTTCAGCCTTGCTTGCAGGCTCTGCGTACACGGCGACATTCAAGGGTGGCACGTGGGCTCACGTCTTCCTCAACACCTTCGACTACCACCGACAGCATGCTCCAGTGTCGGGGACAGTGAAGGAAGCATTCCTCGTCGAGGGCTGCGCATACCTGCAAGTCGAAGCGGAAGTTGGGGACGATGGCAAAAAAAGGCTACAGCCAAGACGAGGCTTTTCGTCAGCTGTTCAAGCCGGGAAAGCGGTCACTGCCCAGCCGTCTGCCCCCGATGGTGCCGGGTATCAGTTCATCCAACAACGGGGCTGCATCGTGATTGATACAACTGGCTTTGCCAATATTGGGATGGTGGCGGTCCTCCCCATGGGGATGGCTCAAGTCTCGTCCGTGAACCTGTCAAGGGGCTCGAAGGTTGGAAATGTTGTCAAGAAAGGCGAGGAGATTTCGTGGTTTGAGTTTGGTGGCTCTGATCTGGTTCTGGTGTTTGAGGCTCAGGCATATGCCCACGATTTCCCGCCTGTAAATACAAGGCAGCATCCTAGTCCTCACCATCTCATCGGCGAAAAGCTCTGCAGGGTTAGAGCAACTACCAAATAATGCAGCTTTGACACCTGTGAGGACCATGACATTGGAAGAGAGGTCTACTCATGGACAAATGACCAGGGCATGTATGCGCAGCGAATAAGTCTTTCATTACACACCAGTTACTTCAGAAACTCTAGTACCCAGGTATGTTGCTGTGCCCATTCACACGAGCATCGACCAACCCCCCCCCCCCTATACAGCCCCACATTTAGAGCCTCGTCAAATCTCGTACGATCTACAGTATTATCTTCCCCATGATCGGGACTAAGATGCCAAGATGGCTTAAGGCTGGGGATTGAGTCCACGGGCGAGACGGGTCGATGGTAATAGGAATAATTACGAAGGCCACCCAAGGCCACTTAATCCCTTTTCGTTCGGGAGCCTCGCCATCGCCACTCGTCAGCTCTCGTGACTCGAGTTCGGCGATTTCCCTATTCGCTTTTACCCCGCGGCGGCTGCTGATACAAACCTTCATCCGAGGTTCAAACTATTAATTCTGGTCAACAGCCGGCCGATTCGAGCATAGCTGCACAGGAACTCCAATTAACACCAGAAAATAAGAATCAAGTTTTCTTGTTTATTTACTGTTGGTTATTATCTATTTGAGTCTTGAATTTGGCAGCTTGGCCCAACATCGCTCCCTGCATCTTTCTCACTATGGCCTCCCAACGCCTTTCCGCCGTCCTCTCACACCTACCTTCTAGCTCGAGTGCGGTAGACAATATGTATGAATGGCGCTGATGTTTCTGTGTGTATATGTCAGGCCAGGGCTGACGATGTGACGAACCAGCGCAAAGCAAAACCCCGACGATGTAGTCATCACCCTCGCCATCAGGACGCCCATGTGCAAGGCCAAGAAAGGCGGACTCAAGGACACGACGCTCGATGGCCTGGTCTTCAAGATTCTCGAGCAGGTCCGACTCCGAAGCAAGCTTGACCCGCGCCTGGTCGACGATGTCTGTCTCGGCAATGTAAGCTGTCTTGTCCCCGCGTCGGAGAATATCCCACTGATTGCGTTATCCCATCTCCACAGGTCCGCGATGGCAAAGCTGGGTACTACGTCCGAGCCGCGGCTCTCGCAGCAGGCTTCCCAAACACAGCCGGTGCGTCGAGCGTTTCGCGGTTCTGCTCCTCAGGCCTGACGGCGACGCAATTCATCGCCAATGAGATCATCACCGGCATGATTGAAGTCGGCGTGGTAGTCGGCGCCGAGTCTCTGAGTGAAGGGAACGAACGTCTGAGTCGACCCTTTGCCGACGATGTCATGAACGCCAGCGAAGAGGCGAGGGACTGTATGCTCCCAATGGGTAAGCCCACACTGCGCACTCTGGACAGATATGGGAAATTGAACCATTTGCTTACTCCTATCTCCCTCTGACAATACAGGCGCCACGTCGGAGAATGTGGCGAGAGAGTTCAACATCACTCGGCAGCGGCAGGACGAGTTTGCCGTCGAGTCGTACCGACGCGCCGAGCTGGCGCAGAAGAGCGGCTGGTTCGATGACGAGATTGCCCCTATCACGGTCAAGAAGGACGGCAAAGACACGACCCTTGCCCGCGACGAAATCCGATGGGGGACCACGTACGACGGGATCAAGAACCTTCGTCCGGCCTTTGCAGAGTACGGAGACACGACGCACGCCGGCAATTCCAGCCAGATCACCGACGGTAAGTCGCTCATTCGAGGACAATGCAGATTAAATGCCTCGAGACTCATCCTCCCGTCTTCTTTACAGGAGCCGGTGCTTTAATTCTCATGAAACGCTCAAAGGCCTTGGAGCTGAACCAGCCCATCCTCGGAAAATACGTTGGCACAGCCCTTGCCGGTCTGCCTCCGCGCATCATGGGCATCGGCCCGGTCTTGGCCATTCCCAAACTACTTTCTCGATATAACCTGTCACTGGACAAGGACATTGACGTGGTGGAGATCAACGAAGCATTTGCTTCCATGGCCGTCTATTGTCGGGATTATCTTAATCTGGACTGGACGAAATTGAACCCTAGAGGTGGTGCCATTGCGTGAGTCCCCCCCCCCCCCCCCCCCCACCCCCTTTTTTTTCCCCTCCTGGATTTCTTCTTTCCTTCGTCGTAATAGCTCTGTTCAATATCAGGTCAATTCACACTAACGGATTCTTGCAGACTCGGCCGTAAGTACCTCCTCCCATGAACATGAACATGAACCCAGAATCAACACGACTTCTTCGTGAAGTCCATCCCCTTCTTCCCCTTCTGTGGAGTCATCTTTTTCGATCAAGACTGACAAACCTCGCTGAAACAACAGATCCATTTGGATGCACCGGAGTCCGACAGATAGTCACGGGTCTCAGCGAATGCCGGCGGAGAAAGAAAAAGGTTCTGCTCACCAGCATGTGTCTAGGTACCGGAATGGGCATGGCGGGATTGTTTATCAACGAGCAGCTTTAGGGGTCTGCCTGGCCGTGACGGGTCTATTGCAGGCGTGGGACGGCTCGAGAATGAACTACTGTCTCTGCTCTGGTCTGCTCTTCTCATCCTGCCATCTCCAATTTATGCTCCTATACAGATCAAAATATAGACGAAAAGAGTCCCCAGCTTTGCCCTTCCCGTTGTGCATCGTCACTGCCGCCTTCAAACAGGATCTTGACACATTTATTCAAAAGTTCAGTTTTGTCCTTGCTGAAACATGGAAGAGCGTGAGCGTTACAATTCTCCCATCCCCTTTTCTTATAGCCTTGTAACGAAGATGTTCTCTGAGAGAAAAAAAGTCTACTTATCAACATTCGTCTCCACCGTGGTTATTGTGGTCGTAATCCTCGTCACCGTCTTGTTGGTCGTAGTTATCCTCGTGTCCCCCGCCGTGAGGGTCGTAGTGATCCTCATAGCCGTCGGCGTGACGATCGTAGTCATCCCCCTCGGGGTTGTCGTGATCATATTGATATCGGTTGTGCCCTTCTCCTTCATCCTGCCAGTCTTGGTCATCGTCACCTTGTCCATCTCCCTCCTCATCATCATCACCATCACCATCACCATCGTGGTCCGGATGACGCGCCCCGTGTAGCAAGTGATGGTGCTTGGGCGCATTTTCAATCATTGAGTCGAGTTCGTGGTCGTCCACCACCCCCCGCAACATCTCCAGATAATGGGCATCCGGGTTCGATTCAAAGTAGATGATGTCGTTGATCTGCTCGAGCGGGTGTCGCACAGGTAGGCCGTGGTCTCCGACAGAATCTCCGGTCTGGGCGGCCATCAGGTCCTTGTGTAACACGGCGTACATGTGGCGGGTCGGGTCGGCCGTCACGAGTTGCTCGCAGAGATCGGCCAGATGTTTGGTCAGCTCGGGGATCTCGTGGTGAGAAGATTCTTCATCTGCTATATGTGAGAGAAAGGAGATAAGAAGTGAGGCATTAGCAAACTTACCCCCGTGGGCAACGAGGGGGCGGGCCTTGACTAACCATCTCCCTGGTGTAGGTCCACGAAACGGTGCATGCCGTCCCAAAGCTCTGCCTGAATCGCCGAAGTATCGGGTCCGCCATGTTCATGATCTTGATGGTCCTCCATCTGCGCGGTGTCTGGAGACGTCGTTTCCTCAATGATTGTTCTGAGGCGGGGATGGATGCTGTATGAATGCGCACTCTGTCGAGACTATCACATGTCCTCTTATCTTCTGGCGAATCTCAGAGATCCGGGGCTAGAGAGTCTCGATGATGACCATAATGTCGAGTCCCGAGAGGAAAGCCGTGCCAGTAGATAGAACCACTACAAGGGTCTATCGGTTGAAAATGACCTGGACTGTTCCAGTTCCTATTCATAGGACCAAGCCTTGCACATGGTCTGTCCTGTCCGTGTTGCCACCATTGTGCTCACTGTTTGCTGTCATCCAAGTGCTGACGGGTCTTGCCACGATCCAATCCCCATTTGTTGGACGTCTTCAGCCGTACCAAATGGCGAGGCGAGGCCTGGCACGCGGCTTGACGGACTTGTTTGTTACTTGGATTAGGAAGGCGCAGAGCCGAACTTGACCTCAAACGACATGACATTTTCCGAAAAGGTGTTAGTGACTTGCCACCGAACCACGTTTTCCTTGCAAAATGCCTTGGGGCGGAAATGAAACTGATGATATAATCTCGTATCGCCTTTGCCCCAAGAAACAAAACGGGAAAAGAACTTTGCCGGAATGTATGCTGTTTGCGGCACCTTCGGGGTTCAGCATATAAGCCCCGCTCGACGGCGAGGTAGCGTCCTTTTTTTTGGGTACCGAATAGACTGATCCCCTTGTGGCAGTATTCTTGGAACGATTCGAGAGGATCATTCTCACGCCAGTTGCCACGATAGACCGTCTTGTCGTGATGAATCCTGGGTCATGCCGAGAGAGAAAGGGCGGAGGGAGACTGATATGAGCCCCTTCATAAAGAACCCAAGGTTTGCCTACATCGGGTTCGCTTTTCCCTGGCGACTTTGTCTATCAACTCCCAACCCGGTTCCGTCTAGTCATCAATCCATCCCCTTCCAAGACCTCCTGGGACTGCCTCGAAAACCATCATGAACAACCCGAACCCGCCGCCGCACCAGCCACCGCACCAGCCACCGCAACAGCCGCCGCAGATGAACATACCACCTCAGCCGAACCTAAGCTCCCTCCCAGGATTTTGCGTTCCAGCCGTCCTTTCTGTCATACTCAATACGAACTTGACCCTCGCCCTGCAACATGCTCAGCAGCACGGGTACCCACTCAATCAACTTCGACTCGTTACATATCAGTTAGTCTCTCAATTGGGCCTCATCTACAATCCTTCGTTCCAGCTTCACTCTCTTGTGCCACCACAGATGTGGCAGCCGAACGCTCAAATGACACATCAGGACTTTGAGAATGCAGGTCAAACCGCGGCCCAATTGACTGCGTTAATCAACCAGGCCAACATCCCAGGAACGACTGGGGTGGGGGCGATCATCTTGCTCCCACCAACCCAGGGTCCCAATGGTCGAGCTTCAATGCACGCCGTCGTGGTTGCGCCAGGACAAACGCTTCGCTTCTTCGACTACGCAAACCCGGCGCAACCGATAGAATTCACTGTAGCTTGGAACGCTCCGAACTCGCCGGTGAGATTCCTCGCAATATTTTGGTACGCCGACATCAATCAGAGGCAGCCCATGACTCCTCCTCCTTCAAAGGCCGGTCCATCCGCACCGGGGGGCTCGTCCTCACACCCGGCCGGAGGTTCGTCCACGCATCCCATGATGGCGCCCACCTCAAGCGCACGCTGAGGTCGATCGATGCGGTGGTGCTGCCTTCTCTCCGCTGGCCTGGCTGTAGTGTCACAAGTGTGTTATAGTCAGAACAGGGGATACTCGAGGACAACGTCACGGCTGGGATATGTAAAGCTTGTCACTCATAGCTCTTTTGAAGCATCAATATCCCCGGGTTGAGGAGTCGCCGCCATTCAATTTCTGGTATTTTTGGCAAGTGGTGCACTTTACTAGGGGGTTTCACTCAAGTTGCAAACATGAACAAATACAGAAGAGGTTTCCTGCCAAATCTGATATTCTTTGCCCAAACAAAATCAAATGTCAATTTCACCGTAGCAATGCCGAGCATTATACGAGAAAACTCGCCGATTTTACGAGGAAAATACGAGGGCCAAGATGGATTTTCAAAGCTTACCCCGATTGGGCATCTGGATTACTGCTTGTAGATAATTGGCTGAACAGTTTTCCCCTCGGCATTGCCTGATTGGGATATCGTCGCACCCAATGTGGTAGGTAAGAATCGAATACACCAATCAATATTCTCTCCCTACAACATCTGCAACTCGAATTCCGAGACGGAGGCAGAGTCAAAGTGAGATGAGATACCTACCATCAACGCTGACATTATGTATCAAAGAGCGAGCCCAGGCGTCCTGCTCACCTCAGGAAAAATTTGGAGGTGGAATTTTCTCTTCAAGAGGAGCGTGTTCCGTGGTTTGAAAAGGTGGCAACAAATGGGTAACGTTTTTCTGGGCCCTTTCAAGAGCAAAAGATACCATCTGGAGGTGAGCGCCTTCCTGGTGCGGTGAGGCTGCTTCATCCAGATAGATTTCCCAGCGACGAACATCGTTGTGGCGAGACCATCCGGCGCAATCCCCATCACAGGGAGACATTTACCTCTGTACCTCTGTACAACCGAAGACGCCAGCCATAATTGTGGCAGGCACGTCCACTTGCAGTCGTTGGATTACTTACCCGTTCAGTCCAAGTGCGCAGAAATCTGGCCTTTCCTGCACTCGTACTCGAACGCGGTCTAGCTACGTCATCTAATCAACATCTGCTCCACTCAGATGAGATTTAACAAGACTTGTTGAATCTTAAACGAGCTTTCTGGGACCACAATTGAATTGTTCCAGGTTGCAGACGGGGATCTGTGCGGCATCGAATCATCGAGAATGTTTGGTTTCGGGGAGGGGGTCATCAGTCGGCGCCGAATCTGGCCTTTGTCTTCAGCATTTACACGGGGTGTATTCGTGATTCGTCGATACGGTAAAATGTTCAACGCATGGAGATGACGTTATGTATGTAGTGTCGAACTGCAGCGTATCAACCAGGACCTTCGCATTGTGGAGGCGTACCCAATGAGGGACCACATCTTCGAGACACACATCGTTTGCAATGACAACAAGGAGCGACAAACGAAACTAGCTCGTTGCAATACGGGGTCTTTAGAAGAGAAAAATCGTTCCTCGTACTCGCATTTTGTGCAAGTCCTCGCTAAGGGAGGTGATCTGCTGGTCTTTTCACAAGGCTTCAGCCATTTCCCCTGTAACATCATTGGCTGGATCTTCAACTCGGTGGGACGGAGGGTCATTTGTTCCGAGTGGAGACTTAGTATCCGAACTTGAGCTGTTGTCTTGACTGTGACTGGCCAGCTGCAACACTAGTCGGGAATCAACAAACACACTAATCCCCTTTCCGGAGATACGTGCCATGCGACCCTTAACACCAGAGAATGTGCATAAAGTTCGCCCAAGTACAGAATAAATCGATATTTCCATCGTTATATCAAAATTGCCAAATCCCTTTCTTTTGCGGAGTGTTTGATCGCTAAGAGTCCTCAAGCGGCAGCAACAGAGTCTCAAAGATGGCGGCGTCGGCGACCGACGAAGGCGCAGAGCAAACCGAGTACAAGGCGAACGATGTGAGAAGCACATCTTCGCAGCTGGAAAGGCATAAAACAAACGACGCAGACGAAAGCCCCCTCGAACAAACCACGAGCCGCATCGAAAAATATCCCACTGGCATCAAGCTGAGTCTGATCCTGCTGAGCATTTACTTGTCCGTCTTCCTGGTCGCACTCGATAGGACAATCATTGCTACTGCGCTTCCCAAAATCACCGACAAATTTCAAAGTTTTGCCGATGTTGGCTGGGTAGGTCGATGTCCTTCCTTCGCAGCGGCTGGCAGGCAGGAGAAAAAAGGTTGCTAACGCTCCAGACAGTACAACGCCGGATTTCTGTTTCCCACGACTGCCCTCCAACTCCTCTTTGGCCGATTATACACCTTCTACTCGCCCAAGTGGATCTTCCTCACCGAGGTGTTTGTGTTTGAAATTGGTTCTGCGATATGTGGCGCCGCCCCGAACTCGGTCGCCTTCATCTGGGGACGGGCGGTCGCCGGTTTGGGCGCCGCAGGACTGTTCAATGGTGCCATGATCTTGATGATGTATGCGTCGCCTCTTGAGAAGAGACCTCTCTACATGGGTCTCCTCGGTGCGGTCTTCGGGGTGGCCTCCGTTGCCGGTCCACTACTTGGAGGCGTCTTCACGACCAAGGTCAGTTGGAGGTGAGTTCTCGCTCTCACAGAACATCGCAAGAACAGCAAAGCTGAGTGAGATCAAGATGGTGTTTCTACATCAACCTCCCAATCGGTGCGGTGGTGCTCGCGTTCCTCTTCCTGGTCATCGACGACATGGAGCCAGCTCTGGGTAATTTACCACTGAAAGAAAAGATCTCCCGGATCGACATCCCCGGCACCGTTGTTTTTATCCCCTGCATTGTTTGCCTGCTTCTGGCGCTTCAATGGGGCGGTCAAAAATATGACTGGTCCGATGGCCGAATCATCGCACTTTTTGTCGTCTTCGGTGTCCTTCTCATCGCTTTCGTCGCCATTCAACTATGGCGGAAGGAGGCCGGTACAGTACCACCTCGAATCGCCACGCAACGGACCATTGCCACGGGAGGGTTTTACGCCTTCTGTCTCGGGTCGTCATTTATGATTGCAGTGTACTACTTGTCGATATGGTTCCAAGCCATCAAAGGCGCATCGGCAATCCGGTCCGGGTACTCGACGCTACCCTTCATTCTCGCGCTCGTGGTTTCGTCTATCATATCAGGAGCCTTCGTCACGAGGGTAGGGTATTACAACCCGTCAATACTGGCGGGCGGCATCCTAACGCCTATTGGAGCTGGGCTCTTTACGCTCTTCACCACTCACACGGCACACCCTATGTGGATCGGTGCCCAGGTCCTCTACGGTTTCGGTGTTGGACTTGGGTTACAACAAACCAACATCGCCGCGCAGGCCGTCCTGGACAAGAAGGACGCGCCGACAGGAGTCTCCCTGGTATTCTTCTGCCAGGGTCTCGGCGGCACCATTTCCGTCTCACTCGCCCAAAATGTCCTGGACAACAAGCTCATATCGGGTCTGAAAAACATCGCCGACATCAGTCCGCATGACATTGTCAACACCGGAGCCACTGAGCTGCGTCGTGCTTTCAGCCCCCAACAACTGCCGGAGGTTCTTCGGGTCTACAACCACGCCTTGGTAGTTGTCTTCTACGTCGCCCTCGGTTTTGCCTGTGCGGCTATCATTGGAGGCGTCGGCATGGAGTGGAAGACGGTGAAAAAAGAGAAACCTAAGAAGGACGAGGAAAAGACGCCGGAGATCAAGGAAGAAACCAAGACGGAGTGATCGCCCCCAGGATTCACAAGCCCTTGACGAATTGTGATTTAGCGCTGCATTGTACAACAACTACTTCCTCTTCTCGAGCGAAATCCCTTCTCACTAGAATTTTCTGCAGACTTTTTTGCAACTGCGGCGGAAATGAGAGTCTAATGAAGCGACCATACCACTGTTATCCCTCTTCAGAACATACCGATAGACCAATTGATTGCTGTCTATGAGGTGTCTAAATCTCCTCTTCTCACCTGAATCTGGCAAAGGAACATTCACTTCTCAACACCACATCTTCCTCATCTCCCAGAGGAGATTTGGAGGAGAGGCGAGGGTCTAGTGCCATTATCTGTGTACTGAAGTACCATGCCGCCAGGACTATGATAGCAGGGTCTGAGGACCGAGACGAGGGTCGAATCTGCTGCTGCAGGAGCAAATGTGAAGGTAACAGAACCTCCTGGGACGCGACCACATGTCTCCGCTACGGTTGTGTGGAATCCCCAAGCAGTGGTGAGTGCGCGTTGACTGCGCAATGAGGGCGAGGAACCGCTGCGAACCTGCAAACAGAGCTTGATCTTTCATCGGGTATGTATGTTCCTCCCATAAAATATTGCTATTACTGTCTTATCAGAGACCCTTCAACAATGTCGGCACATAAAGACGATAAGCAAGGCGTGTTATTCGATACGGGCTGTGCTGCCCAGGAATAAACCTGGACTAGAGACGAATATTTGTAACATAATCGTAGAATCTTATTGCCTTGCACCTCGTTCGGAGTAGGACTCTACACAAGGGCGAAAGGGTCACCTGAGGGAGAACCTGCGTTCTGCCAAGGCTGAGTGCCAAGACTGACGAGGCTACCCGCACCTCATTGGAGGGCACGAGTTATGTGGTCCGCAGTTGGAGCCGCAACCTGCACCTCCATCATCAAACCCCATAACATCATCCTTGATCTCGACTTTGTCCTCCTGTCGACTTTCAACTATTGTCTTAACAATTTCTTTTGTTTCTTTATCGCAACATTCCTCTTTGACTCGATGCCGCCCTCCTCGATAGAATCACGGCAATCTCGACCGGTCCTTATCCCCAACCTCATTTTCTCGTAGAACCGTGAATCTCCCACTGTCGATAGCTGCGTCCGTTGATTCCCACCCCTGCGTGTCTTCGACATGGCCGGGACGACTTCTTCGGCTGCGGAGATGATCTCCCAGCTTGAAGCGGCGCGTAAACTCGCTCTGGGAGATCCTCAAGTATACAATCAAGTCCTCCCAGGGATATTACCCATCATCGGTCCCTCGGCGCACGTCGAAGTGCGAAGATGGGGTGCGGAATTTCTAGCAGAGGCATTCGCGAGCCCTTCTCTCCCCAATGCGCAGAAAGAACAGCTTTCCTCCGACGTGTTGCCTACCCTACGAACCATGTTGGACACACCTGGTGAAGATCCTGCGGTGATCAAGAGCGTGATACAAGCGGCTGCGAGTCTATACCCTCTGGTGTTCAGACGAGTGTATGTGGTTGGACAGATAGTATCAAGACTAGATGGCCCGATTCTAACGAGAGCGTCTAGAATTTCACACCCTACAGAAACGACGTTGTGGCAGGAAATGAGTCGGATCAAATTAAACATTCTTCAACGCATGGATTCTGCTCCCATCGCAGTCCGGGTTTGTTGCATCAAATTCGTGCAAAAGGTCGTCCATGTAGAGACCCCTGGTTTGATCTCAGATCCTCGAGTCAGTTCACCTGCCGCGATCTTTGCCTTGTAATGTCCCTGCTAACGCCACGCAGCGCCCCGAGCAAAACGAGATTTCCATTGCCTTGGTCCCACGAACACATCCTCTACTGCAGCTCCCAAACCTGGAGGCCGAGGCATCCGGCCTGCTGGACAGACTGTTGAGCGTATTCCAGGAGGCCACGATGGATCCCATCCTTGTTGATGCGACGCTCAACTGCCTGGCGGTCCTCATACGAACACGCCCCGCCATTTCCACCAAGATTGTGTCTGCGATTCTCAACTTCAATCCAATGAAACAGGCGAATGCTCCGCTGACCCCTCGAATGATTGTCATTATAAGATCAATGGAGAGAACAACGAGGGCTTTGCTACGATGGGCTTTGAGGGCTGTCCCGAATCACCCTCTGGAACAGAAGATCCAGGCATACCTCATGCGCCTCCAACAGTCACGTTCAACGCTGTTTGCAGAGCCTACGGGACAAAAACGCCCGGCTGAACCCACCGACGGGTTGGATGATGCAAAGAGGCAGAGGCTCACGGCGGGAATTCGCAAATTTCCACCCATGCCTCCACCGCCCAACACCTATGCCCACCTATTCACCCTCACGGAAGATACCAGTCTTCAGCAATTTGATGTTACTCTTCTCCCTGCTGACATTGTCAGCACTGTAACCTCGGTCTTCCTGCAACACGTGGACTCGAACTCACTGGATGTTGCGATTGATGCAATCCGATCCAGATATACTCACTTGCAAAAAGTCAATCAGCCCACCCCTGTGCCTGATGTGCCCATGCTAGGACCTACAGGTATCGATGATGAGGACGATTACGATCCTGAGTTTGTCACTGGTACAGAGCCGACGGCCCTGTCGACCACAGAGAGGGCATTGGAGGAGCTAGCGCAGCCACCTCTTGAGTTGGGCCCATTCGAGCTACCAAAACCCCCGCCGTTGACTGGGACGGAAGTCGCGACATTATCAGATCAGACGGTTGGACATGTCTTTCAACTGGTTGCGTCACTCGAGGCTACGGGGCACTCTCATACGAAGCAGCAACTCGGCCTAAATCGAATAGCCGCTAGTGGTAACGATCGAGACTCTTGGGCAACAATCCTCATGCGCCTGGCCACCAGAGCCCCGTCCGGCCTCGATGACCTCGCCAACACCCTGAACGACGACGACGCGGATGGGTCCAGGCAGATCATCAAATCAGAAAACACCGAAGAAACACCCAATGTCGCAAACCGTATCCGTCAGACGCTATTCATGTATGTCCTCGAAGACTTCCGACCTCGCCTTAATATGGCCATCTCTTGGTTGACCGAGGAATGGTACGCCGACAAAATGACCGCAAAGACACACCCAGAACTTGCCCATCTACCAAACTACACCCGATGGGCAAATCGCCTCATTGATCGCCTCCTCCCCTATCTCGACGCCCGAGATAAGAATCTGTTAATACGCTTCCTCTCTGAAATCCCCAGCATTGATCGCGAGATTCTGAGTCGAGTCAAGAGCTTGGCGAGAGATCCTGAAAGGATCAACATGTGTATTCTTGCGATGCAATACCTTCTATTGATGCGGCCGCCAGTGAGAGACATGGTGTTGGATACGATCGAAGTAATCTGGAGAGAAGGGGATGATCAGGCTAGAGGGGCAACCAGTAAGGTCCTGGCGAAGTGGAGACCGGGCTTTCTGGAAAAGGCCGTGAAGGAAGAGGAAGTCGAGTCCAAGGCAAATGTTAAACAGGAGATGAGGACGAATGGCGTCACTAGTCCTCCTCCTGCAGCACCTGCTGCACCGGACACTACCGTGGAAGCAACAGAGCCCATGAGCATGGATCCTAGGAAGAGAAAAGCCCTTGCAGCCGCGAATGGGTGAAGAAGGGGGTGGGGATCGAGCGTGTAGTTTCAGCCGTACTGTACCATTATAACAGAAGGAGACAATAAGAACGAGCAATCATGCCTACAAAACGAGAACCGCGCACGCAGAAAAGATGCCATACAACCGCCGAAGATCTTTCTCGTTGATTTGCACAAGACACTGGACATTCTATCTCTTATCTATGCTATCGTGAAAACAGATATGTACACGGGGTCTCTCACGCCATCGCCAACTACTCTCCATGTTCTTTTATGAGGTCACGTTGAACTCGTCGATGACACTCCTCGGTTTTTGATATTCGCCCACTCCGAACCCGTTGGCCCTTCCTCTGTCCCGCACCTCTTCCCAACTACACTTGAGGCCGAAGAACTCGGGTCCTCCGACCCTCAGGCCCTCGGCGCTCCCGGTCCACAGTGGCGAGGCGGGCATCCCGATCACGCGGACCTTGAGACCGTACCGCAGCTCGGGAGACCCGAGAGCCTCGCCGTCGCTGCCGAGGATGGAGATCAAGTCCGGCACCGTGCATATGATCTCCTCTTCGGAGTCTTCTTGTGACGAGGACGTTGTCGGGAACTGTGGAATGAACCCTGCGGAGAGGTATTCGTTCTGGAAAGGGATGACAAGGTGGCGTTTCTCGCGGTTCGCGGGAGTGGTGGACGGGGGGTTTGAGCTGTCGTCTTCCTCGTCAGCGGACAAGGGCGCAATGACACAGCGACCGACTGTATAGCCGCGGGAGACGTCGCGGGTTACGTCGACGACTTTACCGACGTAGAGCTCTTTGACTGGAGTGATGCTCGACTATATAGATTTAGATGGTCTTGTCAGTTTTTGCCGGTCACACACACACTCTCTCTCTCTGGTGAGGGGGGACAACTCACGATCGCCTCGATGAAATCAATCTTAGACTCCCGCGCAAGGTGGACCGCGCGCCCCAGATACCATGCTTGGGAGACGGTGTTGGGCACGGCGTAGTCCTTGAGGACTTTGCCAGAGAGAGGTCTCGCGGCCGCAGCAGTCGAATTGCCCAGTTCAATGCAGGTTGTCCGTATCAGCGCCTCCACGCGCTTGTTGGAATCGGCCGTCTATGATATAGAACCAGAAAATGTCAGAGATTTGCCAGAAGGAGTGAGGGAAGATGATAGGGACCAAAGACACCTTACCAGAACGACGGATGCGTTGCCTTTACAGTCGGTCGTGGCAACAGGCAGCACCGGCTGGCCATAAACATAAGGAGTTCCATGCTCCAGCGTCGGATACGCACGACCCATCAAGTCGCAGTCTACCACCGGTCGACCGTATCGAGCACTCGTGGGAAACGTCACCAGGCCGTTGCCTCCTCCGATCTCATCGGCCACGATGCCGTCAAAGTCTGTGATCCCCATGATCTTGTTGACGGCGTCGATGGCGGCGAACACATCCGTGCCTGAGCTCACCCGCTCGTCGCTGACCGAAGGCGCGCCGTAGCCTGCGCCAAACACACAAACACCGTCGTCTTTGAGTGATTCGAGCGAAACAACGCGGATAGCTCCCTCGCCGGCTTTGCGAAGGATGTCCAGCGTGTACAGAGCCATCAGATACGACGAGCCACCGCCTCCCGTACCGAGCACGCCTGCGCCCGAAGCGATCAGTTGCACATCGACGGGAGAGATATACCAGACGCCGTCCTTGACACAGGGACGATACTTTGCGATATTGACACCCAATGTCGGCTTCGTCAAACTGCCCTTCTGCACGTTTGTGGCCTCGGGTTTCGTCGCCTCTTGCGTCGTGTCATCATCCACTTCCTGCGCATGGGCGAGTGCTCCGTTGGCAAAGCCATTTTGAACAGCATCGTCTCTGGCTCGAAGACTTCCGACTGCTTTCATGGCAAACCTCGTGGCTTTGTTGGTCACATACTGAAGCGGGATTTTCTTGATCTCGACGATTTTGACATCCCGTTCGTCTGCCCCATTCGCTATAGCGGTCGCAATTGCAGTCTTCCTGACTGCTTCGATCGCCTCATTCTCATCTCGACCAGCCAATATCTCAATCACGTCGACTTCGCCTGCCACCTTGGCAATGGCCGCGCCCACAGCGTTGGCAGAGTCGTGATGAGGCGGCCGAAGACACTCTTCTACCCCGTCAAGGTCCTCTGTGAGGATGATCGATCCACCCCCGACCAAAAGGACACAGACTGGGGCAGACGAGACTTTCATCCTATCGATGGCTCGTTCAAGCTGTCGTTTCATGTCGGCTTTTCCACCGGTAATCAGCTGTTCAGGGATGCCCTTGACATTTTCGTAGTCACCAATGCTGGCTGCTTTCGATGCCACGACGATATCCGTCGCTGTCATGACATTTCCTCCAAACACCATGGCATCAGTCGTGAGATGATGCGCGACCGAGTCTGGGCCGACGGTGACCTTGCCTCCATCCTCGGATTGGCGTACGCGACTCCCTCCTCCGAGACCGATGGAAAGGACCTCCGGCATGGAGAAAGCAGTGCGTACACCGCCCACCTCGACAAAGTTGGGAGCCTGCCGAGGGAAGCCTGATGGTAAGAGGGAGCAGATGTCGGTCGTCGTACCGCCGATGTCGACGACTACCACTTGCTTGTCAGCCAGTCTTTGGTCGCCGTGATCAAGCCCTTGAAGGAATGCGGCTCCCATGAGACTGTTGGTGGGACCACTGGCGAATGTCTTGATGGGCAATTCCGCCGCCACCGCAGCATCAGTGAGAGTGCCGTCATTCTGCGTCAAGTACAGTGGACACGCGAGGTCAAGCTTGTACATTGCATATCTGAAGCCCTGAATCGTCCGTCGGGCGAACCCCAGAATCGCCGCGTTGAGGATGGTGGCATTCTCGCGGGTCAAGAGCCCAGTGCCGCCAATCTGGCCGGAGCAGACGACAGATAGTCCTGGTGCAAACTGCTGCAAAAGTGCTTTGCATCGCTCTTCGTGGAGGCCTTTTTGATCAAGCGCAGAGAACACCCCGATGACGGCAACATACTGGATGCCTGCCTCGACGATGGCCGCGGCTGTGGCTTTGATCTGGTCAGGGTTGAGCGGAAAGATCTCTCGGCCGTCAATCTCAAGCCCTCCGTCGAGGTAGAACGCGGGGCCCTCGATGATGCCCTTCAATGCATATGGGAAGTCGGCAAAAGGAGGCACCTAGATATTGTCAGCCCATCACAGGTCTTCCGGGAAGCGGACAAGGAATGCACTTACCTTCCTGGTGTAGGGACCACACAGCCTGATCACGGCCACCCGACTAAGTCTTCGGGCATCATTCTCGATAACGGCATTCACAAAGTGTGTGGTTCCGATCGCAACATTCAACACTTTACTCCTGTCCACTTTCGAGAGAGCGAGAACTTCTCTGACTGCATTCTGAATCCCCAGGGTCACATGCGAGGTGGTGGAAGTCTTGCATGTGGCGAGCACCCCACGCGACTCGGTATCGAGTGCATTGATATCAAGGATGGCGGCGTCGGTGTTCGTTCCACCGACGTCGACTCCAATTCGGTACATGGTCGAAGTGATTATTCTGCAAGGGCTCGCTTGGGTATCTTCCAGTGCCTGATAGATTGACGGAAAATGTTACAGTCGGGTACACCTCCGCCTCGAAGACCGAAGGAGGTTTTCCATGTCGATCGTGCAGCCAGCGCAGATGCCCTATAAGCTGCAGGATCTGCTCCTCAGAGCAGTGGAACGACGCGAGGATCCAAGACACCATCGAGTTTTCGCAATCATCTCCACCACCTCTTGGATATCCAGCACTTGGGGTTCCGAGTGCGCCATGTCACCAAACGCCAGATGCTGAACGGAGATCTGCGGACGCAAAAGGGCGTTTTCCAGAGTTGTTCCAGCAAACCTAGGGCGGGAGCAAGTATCAGAACAGGCAGGTGGCAAGCAACGGGACTCAGTTATAGGCTTATCGATAACTTCGATACCTGGGCATACCTCGAGGCCCATCTTGGGCCCATTTTTCTGGATCTTAAAGCTCCGGTTTCGGTCGAGTTTAAGGTCTATGAATGCGCCTATCATCCTTACTCTTGGCCGGCACGACGCCCCCGCAGGTCCAGGCTAGGCGATCCTGGCCTCTGTCATTCCCTCTAAGCTCGGTCAGTCCAAATCGCATCTCGAGTGGGATGATTAAGCACCAATTCATCAAAGACTAAGGAGGGCAGGCCACCGGTATGCAACTGATCTTCGCAAGAGTTGTTATCAGTGCATGATTAATCAGTGGTTAGGAGAATCCTCAGCGACGGAGAACTGCAGTTTATATCTCTCGCTCTCTCCTTCGTGCCATCGACAATGGCCGGCTGCGTCTGTCCTCTCTCCACCCCACGGGGACTGTCTCTGCCACGATGGTGGACTTCCAAGGTCTCCTGAGAAAGCTCGAGGTACCATACGAAGGCGGTACGATCCCAAACCGCTGGATCAACAATGATATCAAGCCGATCGAGAAGGGCCGGCGAACATGGACGTTTTGGACTTTTCACAACCTCTGTAGGTTGCAAGGCTTTCTTCACAGGCTTGATGCAAACCCATCTGACACACGCCCTAAGGGGTTTTGACCAATACCAACATCTCGACGTACATGACCGGAAGTTCGCTGATTGCCCTTGGGTTGAACTGGTGGCAAGCCATCATCGCCATAATTGTCGGAGCAGTCCTGTCAACCGTCTTTGTATGTGGTGCATCTCGTTCAGTTCTCGCAGAAAGATGGCGCTCCGGACGTCCTAGCCAGTGCTGACCGCTCGGGATTCTATGGCGAATACAGATAGTGTTGAACAGCACGCCGGGCGCTTTCTACCACCTTGGATTTCCCATTGCCAACCGTTACGTTTGGGGCATGTACGGCAGTTCCTTCGTCATCTACAACCGGATTCTCTTGTCGCTGGTGTGGTATGCCGTGCAAGCCTGGATCGGAGGACAATGCGTCTACGTCTGCCTCGAAGCGATATGGCCGAATCTCGAACAGCGCATCCCCAACCACCTCCACGCCACAGGCCT